CATGTCTTTCTGCTGTAAAGTTGGGTGTTCCAACATTGGATTCTATGGGGACTGACTCAATTTTGGAGCCAGCCTCAAGTGGCCATTAGAGGAACTGCAGTTTTTGGCACTTCAAAGCCCCAGAGGTTGTCGCTTGTATCAGCTGCATAAGGTGATAAGATGTCAGTGTTGTAGCTTGTTTCAGCCGCCCCAAAGTAATGCAGGTTTACCACAGATAATCAGTTTAACATATGACAATGCAGACATCAAGAATAACGAAATATTTTTTTTTATTTTTGGCCTATTTCTTGTGTATTGACCGTCTGTATCACTTTTTGTTGTACTATGAATTCTTTAAGTCCCCCATTCATCTCTCCTTTATATCAAACTATACAAAATCTGTTTGACCTACTTCCTAAAGCCTCTAGCAGGCTAGATTTTACACCGTTGTCACCATGTAGCGCCACTCTTTAGGTTTTCTCATTCAGGTTACATCACTCTACACTGGTCTATGTGTGAAGTGGCTGCGAAGGACTACGCTACCGCTGAACTGGGTCGTGGGTAACACGTTGCTATGGCAACTGCTATTTGCCAGCCCTGGGGCCAAGAACTGCTTTTTCGCTTACACTTTCTCTCTCTCTCTCTGTTCTTTCTCTGTTCTTTCTTTGCTCACTCTGCCTCTTTCTTCACCTCCTTCTCTCTTTTTCCTCTTCCCTTTGTTCCTCTGCTCGCTCTCTATCGATTTCTCACTCCGTCTTCCTCTCCATTCACCTCTGCTTTCCTTTTTCTCTCCCATGCTCCTCGCTTATGCTGTCATTCCTTCTCATTTTTTTCTCCATCTCCTTCTTTCATCCCTTCTTTTTGTCTTCATCTGTGGGAAAAACAATGAGTGAGCATCTGTCTATCTGACTGTCACTCTCAGCTGCAAATTGAAATCCTAATTTAAGCAGGGGGACATTTTCTAGTTTTGTCCTGCAGGCCACAGAGGAAGCAGAGGAAGAACAAGCTTTAACAGCAGGGGGTGTTAATCCTTAATTGCAGCTCTTGTCTGTCAAATTATTTGCTGTTCTGTGGCTTCACAAAATGAACTCAAATTCCCAAATCTTTCACTCTTTTATACCGGCGAGCTGGGTGTTCAGGTGCCTTCACAGACAGCCTGTAAAACATTCCCACATACTGACGCACCGTCCTTGGTCTGAGATTGTTGAGATGATATACGATACAGCGTCGTAACAGGACCGTAACATATTGTCTAAGCGATTAACTCCAGCTGGCTCACTGTAAGTACAGCGTGGGCACGCAGCCATATTTCATAGAGAGAGCAGAGAAGAAGACAAGCAGGGCAAAGGCAGAGACAAGAGGTAGCGAGATGCAGTGAGGTATAAAACGAGAGCGATGGGCCGGCCTCGGTGTGTCACCTAAATTCTACTCTAATGAATAGCCCATTGATTTCCATTAGGGCTGGCTGGAGCTGACCACTCCGGCCTGTCTGTTTCCCATTAGCGCACTTTAAAACTGAGGCTGACAAACAGTCGTAGCCATGGGCGGACCGGATGAGGAGGCCACTCAGTGTTTAAAAGAAACCTGGGAATTGGTCCATGAAGCTGCATGGGGCCAGGGAGAAGACAGTTAACAGCAGGAATTATACGAGCCTTAAATACCAGTCATGCACTCTCAAACATTTTTCCCTAAATGAGCACAATCTGCAAATTTAATGTCACCTGGAAATTCTTGATTTGCATTTAAAAAAGCAGGATTATCACATCTCAGTGGCGGGTTTTACTCTCCTCTCTAAATAAAAAGGCAGGAAGACTAACATATTAAATTACCTGTTGAGATTGACCTTTTACAGCAGGATGGAGTGTCAGTGCAGAGCAGCTTTTCAACAGCCTCCAGGTCCTCATTGTATCGACCACTGAGTCCATTGCGGTCCCCCCCACCCCCCTGGAGGCCTGGCCTGTTTCTCGGCTCAGGATTTTAGAGCCATCCAGCCTTATCAGCTCCACCTCTCCATCAGCCCGCTTCCTTCATTAACATTAATAGGATTTGGATCTATTATGCAACGAGCCTCCGCTTCGTTACACAACGCACAGTCTTCAGCAGCAGCAGCACACTTTGTAGGGGAGCAGTTGCATCTTAGATTTATGGCCTGGGTTTTCATTCACTCAGAGGTAGAGTGGAGGGGTTTTCAATTGCTGGCACATGACCCCACACTGAGGTCAGAAACCAGCCTTTACAGAGGGGTAAACCACAAGGGACCACAACAAAAATATTCTTATCAGAGAAAAACTATGTTTACTAAGACTTTTAAAAGGTGTGTGAGGATGCAAACTGATTAGCTTCACAAATATTTGATTAAAGTTTATGTAAATTAACAGCTGTTTGTTAATAACCTAAAACAGGTGAATAATAAGTCATAAAATGTGGTAAATTTACAAATAAAGTTTCAAAGTTTGAGGTTGTAAAGTTATTAAAACAATTGAATCTTGCAGCTCATTCGCCAGAAGAAACTGTGGGCATCGTACAAATCTGTTACACTTGTACGCCATGAAAAGCACTGTGCCCCCAAAACCGCCAAGTGAAAACAGGATCTTGACGATCTGATTTTTGTGCCTTAACCTAAACACACACCAACCACAGAATTGTTTAACTGTAAAGTTTCAACTTATCTACTACATAGTAATGTGCAAATGACTAAACTTCCTGTACAGAATGGTGTCTTATATCTTGATTTGTACATTTTGAGAAATTGTGTTAAACTGTCCAATTCAACAGACAAAAAAGTTTTCCAATTCTGCTTTTCCTTTGTTGCGCATACACCTAACCTGCTGCAGACATGTTAGCAGGCTGTACGTAAGCTAAAGGCTAACATCATCATGGTAACACCGAAACACTCCGCCTTGCAATGGCTACAGAGAGCTGCAAGCTGCAGCCATTTGATTCTGTGGCAAAGTGTGGCCAGACCAAAAGTTGGGGATAGTTTTTAGCAGCTTTTAGCAGCAAATTGTGGCCAGAGAATATCTGCAGCCAATCAGTAAACAGAGCCCTGCGACTCCTGTGACATGTTGACTTGTGTTACGAAGAATTTCTTCCTGGCTGATATATCTCGCCTGCAGAAAAATGTAATTTGGTGTGTTTTCAGTGTAATATGCTCAGAATGACAATGCTAACACGCTGATGTTTAGCAGGTATAATCTCTACAGTGTTTACAGCCTTATTTTAGTGTGTTAGCATGCTAGCATTTGCTAATTAGTATGAAACACAATGCATGGCTGAGGCTGATGGGAATGTCATCAGTTTAAAGTTGTACAAAGTGAAATTTTGATCAGATGAAAAGTCATGGAATCACCAAAGTCAGCTGGATTCATCATTTGGAAATTATGAATGTCTCTACTAATATTCATGGCAGACATCTCCCAGCAGTGATGCTACCAATCATTATTCTTCCCCTCAGTGGGGCTGAAATCAATCTGCTCGTTTAAACTCATCAATAACAACTTGAAACACCAAGGGTGTAGGTTTCGTTTCAACATTCCAACACATATAATACAGGGTATTTGAGGATTGTCCACCAGAAAATGTGAGCATCAAACACCTAATTTCCTGCATTCTGGTCAGTTTAATGCACCAGTTTTTTAATTTGTGATGTGTTACACCACCAGATCTGAAAAGTAAAGCAGGTTGGTTTAGGTTTAACAGATTTGTAAGACGGTCAATTGTGTATTCAAGATTTGACAAATAGAAATATTTAGATTCAACAAACTTCTCAACATGAAATAATGATGCTTCAGAGTTGCCAATTGGAGTAGGTTGTCATGGAAACAGCAAAGTGGCACACACAAGACAGTTCATTTTGTCTTTTTTTTCTCTCTCTCCCAGAGTAACTTCCTGCTTTGCTGGAGGAGCTATTTTTAACGGGTGTTATATAAGATGCGACTCTTGTGCTCAATACAATGTTTTATTTTCCCTCCTTTTCATTCCTCTTCATCCTCTTGACTGTGATGGGAGCAGAAAGCACCGCGCTTCCCGTACCTGTATCCTGAGTGAGTTATGGGCTTCACGCTCTGCTACGGTTAATGGAAAACAAATTTACTAATTTATCATCATCATCATCACTGTGTAGAAGCCGCTCAAGCACAGGGGATGAATGTCCGTCATTCGTCATCATTTTGAAGTTGTGAAAAATGAGGCAAATGCTGGTGGAAGATGTAAATAAAGTGTGCAGGGCAGTTGTTGCCTCTTTCAGTTCCTTATGTCACATTTGACGTTTGCATTGGATTTTTAATTGCACTGACACCAAAAGTAAATGAAGCAAAACATCAGTCTTATTCTACCTTCTATCTGCAACAGTAAAACCATCTAACAGCAAAAATATCTTGAGAATATTAGAGGTATAAGATTTAAGTGCATCTTAAATGTCACCTCTCTGATGCCCCAGAAAAAGGCTGTTATTTTGAAATAATTTATTTAGGTCATGAGTTATTCATGCATAAGGAAGAAAAAAAAATCTTGAAATGTTTCTTTAAAGACAAAAGGGAGATAGAGTTGTTTTTTGAGCTGTGTAGGATGTGAGCATGTAGCACAGCTTACATGTAATATTCAGCGCTCCCAGCTGAGCTCAAAGCGAATGCACACTAACTGTGAAAGATGCTATGATTAGCAGCTGGACGTGCCTGACAGGGAGAAGTGTTGTTCTTCTCTTGTGACGCTCTTGCAGCACACGCATGCTTGATTCAGCCTCAGCAGTTTGAACATCCACGCAGTTTTCTGCATATGAGTAATGGTTAAACAGCAGCGGAGAGAAGGCCATTGAGTGTTGCAGTGAGTGTCATCACCGGAGCCGATCAAGCTATTTTATGTGTCATGTTGCAGCAGTCTGCTCTGTATGCTCCTGTTTGGTTTAAAGCATACATTTGCACTTTTAAATCTGACAGATTTAACCAATTTTCTCGCCGCAGAGATAATTTTCCTACAGCTAATTTCAACAGAGTTAATCCTGGTCTCCTTGTCTCCCCCTTCAGGATGCTTCGAGTGCTGCATCAAGTGTCTGGGCGGGGTGCCCTACGCCTCCCTGGTGGCCACCATCCTCTGTTTCTCAGGCGTGGCTCTGTTCTGCGGCTGCGGCCACGTGGCGCTCACCGGCACCTTGACCATGCTGGAGAACCATTTCTCCAGGGTCACCACGGACCATGCCACCCTCACCTTGGTGTAAGTTCTCAATGTGGTTCAGCTGGCTGACAACAACTGTCCCTCGAATACTCAACTGGCTTTCTCTGGGGGCCACTTTTGCAAAATGACAGGAGACCAGGGGCCAGTCACGTATGCAAGGCCATTTCTAGGATTGAAGGGGCGCAGGGGATCCTCCCCTAGCACTCTGTGTGATAAACAAGTTCTATTTAGATGTTTTCTAATGCACACTGGCATCTTATGTATGTAAAAAGTGCAAAAACAATTCCTGAATCAATTTATTGTTATTGTGTATTAGAAAATGGTTGGGGGGCCAACGCGGCACCCTATCGAGGACCGGATTCAGCCTGCAGGCTGCAGGTTGAGTATCACTGGAATAAGGTGCTCTGCTTACTTGCTTTACACTAAGTTTTCATAAAGACTCAAGGAGCATGATGAATCATTGATGAGCTCCTGGCACCATTAATGGTTTCAGTAGAAATCTTGAAGCAACAACTACCCCTGCAGTTATTAAATCTGTCGACAGGAGCCACCCACATTATCTGTTATGATTCAGAATACCCTAAAACGAGTAGGCATGGTGTCTCTTAACTCAAGTGAATGAGCATTTACAGAAAGAGTACAGATACTCTGAAGAAAACAATGAAGGGAGGCACTTAGGCTACAATACTCCTTTTGTTTACGAGACTCAGAAAAGTAAATTTCATTTTTTCAAATGGATCCTGTTGTCACTGGAAGCTTGATTCTCAATAATACACTCTTCAAGCTTCTCTAAGTTATGGATTTGGATCTATTAATGTAATTTTTTAAAGCTTTGCAAAATGAGATTGTCATGTTAAAGCAAAGCTGTGACAACAAGTGGCATTAGGTAACGTTAAGTAATTACTAATAATAGCCATCATAAACTACAGACGAAATGTCTCTAAAGACGGTTAACATTAGCCACTACAGACTACTGGAGATATGTCTCTAAAGTTAGCTAACATTAGCCACTATAATATACTCGTGATATGTCTCTAAAATTAGCTAACATTAGCCACCATAAACTACTGGTAATACACCTCTAAAGTTAGCTAATATTAGCTACCAAAAGCTATCGGTCATATCTCTCTAAGTTAGCTAAATACATTAGCCACCATAAGCTACTGGTGATATGTCTCTAAGTTAGCGAACAACATTAGCCACAGTATGCTGCTGGTTACATCCATATGTGTATATGTATATGATATCTAAGGTTACATCTCTCTTAAGTTAGCTAACAGTTATAATATGCTACTGGTTATATCTCTTTAAAGTTAGCTAACATTAGTTATAATATGCTACTGGTTGTATCACTCTTAAGTTAGCTAACATTAGCCACCATAAACTACGAGTATATTGCTAAAGTTAACTAACTTTGGCCACCTCAAGCTACTGGTCATGTTTTGTCTGAAGTTAGCTAACATTAGCCGCCATAAGCTACTGGTCATGTCTTTCTAAAATAAGCTAACTTTAGCCAGCATAAGCTACTGGGCATATATCTCTAAAGTTAGCAAACATTAGCCACCATAAGCTACAGTACTGCTCACACCAGAACAAGACTGTAGCCGCCGCTGAGTGTATTGAATTCACACAGACAGCAATTTGCAGGTTGTGAAACACAAGGAGCACTGCATCACCTTCTTCTAAAACTTAAATGCCACTAGTAAAAAACAAAACAAGATGCTTGCTACACATTTTTATTGTTGCCAGGCAACCACCCCATCACCTCCTTACCCTAACCAGTCTGTGTAATCAATCTGCCGTAAATGTTTTTTATTATTATTTTATTTATTTTACGGTAATTTAAAGCAAGTTAAAAATGGACAGACAGAGGGTACTTGCTGTAGCACTGGATGAGAGGCTGTCAGCAAACAGTTTGGGAAACAGAGATTTGTGTGCGTACATGAGACACTAAAAAACTAGGGTGGATCATGGGGGGGGGGGGGGGGGGGNGGGGGGGGGGGGGGGGGGGGGGGGGTACCACCAGTTGGTGCTGGAGTTGCCTCGATGATGGCCATTTCCAGGCGTATTTTAGGATGACTTGGGGCAGTTTGACAACCTGCTGTCTATCGTCGGGCCTAGCATAACACAAATGAATACTAACTACAGGGAGTCCTGAGGAGATGTGAGCATTGAATTGCACATTTTTTAGCCCCTCAGAGTTATATACTGTAGGTGCAAAGTTGCCAAGTGCACTTTTAAAAGCCCTATGTTATTAGTTAGATTTATAACATCCTTTCCTTTCTGTATGCCTGTGTTTAGGATCCAGATCTTTCAGTACATCATCTACGGTATTGCCTCTTTCTTCTTCGTCTACGCCATCATCCTGCTGGCTGAGGGCTTTTACACCACCAGCGCCATCAAGAAGGAGCTGCAGAGCGACTTCAAGACCACCGTCTGTGGACGCTGCATCACCGCCTTTGTATGTCAACACGCACACACCGACACACACAAGCAGATGCTGCAAATCATCACACCCACTGACCCAGATACACTCCAGATGAAAGCCTCTAAATGAGATTTAATTACTCTGATGTGTATTTTATAATGTCCTTGCTTAAAATAGTGTTCACGGGCATATAAAAAAATAAACGCAAAACAGTCATTCATAATGCAGGACGGGACAAAGGTCGTCATGAAAGTGATGCGGAGGCGCAATTGCGCACCTCTACTACACATTCATGGACACGCACAGACACATAAGAAAGACAGATGTATGCAAACACTTGTGCACACACACACAGAAACACTCCCACTTTAGCCCTTGAGGGTAACTCTGGCACAGTTTGTCCTTTCTAGCCTGATTACTCTAATTGCTGCAGATGTCCAGTAACATTAGCTTAAACCCGGACACTGAATGTGTGTGGTGGGGTGGAGGTCTTTAAGGAATAACATTAACCTGTTTTTCTGAATGCAAACTTTAGAGGGAAAATTATACTGACAAAATGTGAATCTCTTGTCTGGTTTTGTCCTCTCCTCAGTTTATGTTCCTGACCTACATCCTCGCTCTGGCATTCCTTGCCATCTTCGGCTTCACGGCGATACCTGTTTTCCTGTTTTTCAACATGTGGAATACCTGCGCTGCCATGAAGTCTTCTGAGGCCAACATCACCTTGCCTGACTCCATCTGTGTGGATGTCAGGCAGTATGGTAAGTTGTCCCATTGTCATCGACTACAGAAAACTTCAGTTAGTGATTTCTTAGATTTCTCAGGGTAGCTTTTGACAAAAACGTGACAAGGGGTATTCACACATTGCTTGTGGCCTAGTCGGCAGGTTGATTTACTCTCTCTTCTTCTAATAAAGTGCTTTTCCTGATATAAAAAGCTGACAGTTATCATTAAAGCTCATAAAGCTCTTCCACTGTCACCTTTCATTGAATCAGGAGTAGAAATATCTCAAGCATAAAGTCATGTGGAGAAATCAAAGGAATCCAGAGCTCCATCTGAAACAATGATGCAGTATTAAAGGGTGGATTTTTCCCTCAGTGCCATTAGATGTTTATTATTTTATTCTAATATACACCGCAAACTACTGTTATGAAGATTGGCAGCCTCAGAGCTGTGTTTCTTCGCTCATCCTTGAGTCATCGAGGCCAGTCTGTCCTTTATATTTTTGCTCCTGCTCTGTTCCCGCACACCTGATCTAATTAAGGATGACACATTTTCATTACAGACTAATTGGATCAGGTGTGCAGGAGCAGAACTTGTAGGACAGGTGGGCCTTGACAACTGCCGTTACAAAACCGCAGTTCAACAGGAAAAAAAATGGAGGCTCAGTATCTCCTTAGGTACTTGTCAGATCTTGTCTACTCTTATATTTCTGTATCTTTAGAACTAGGAAGGTACCAAATTGTGTCAGTTTGGGGTTTATGGGGAATGTGGTGTTTATTATAAGAAGCAAAATGTGCCAAATATATACAACTCACTGCAGTTAAATATATTTAACTCACTGCACAAAGTTTTCCTTTGGGGACATAATTTACGGTTGGAAAAAAAGGCAATAAATCACAATATATCGCAATATATGTTATCGCAATACTCAGCATATCGCAAAAATGTTTAAAATCGCAATAATATGTAATGTGACTGAAGTATTGTGATATTATCGTATCGTGGGGCCTCTTGTGATTCCCACCTCTAGTTTAAACCTCGGTGGTCAATTTAGAAGTGAGCACCCCGCCTTTTAAGTCTGTTTAGTTGTGACCCCTCATTACTAAAATATGTCTATGGCCTATTCCACATGGACAAGTGTATTTTTCCCTCCTTTGTTTTTTAAAAAAAACTGTGTCCACACAAGCAAAAAATCTCAGTCAAATGAAAACGTAAAACACAACTGAAGCGCTGTCAAGAGCATGTCTAACCGACAGGAAATGATATAATCCAAACCCTTCAGGGCTGTACACATGCTATGTCTTTAACCGACTGGAAAACACAAAGTCGGACACTGGGCGCTTTTTTTGTGAGAGCTTTCATGAGTGCTGCGGCAGGTTGCGTCTGACGTTGCTAAGCAACCTTAACAGTTGTCATATCATAGCCTATTTACCTCAAAAAGAAGAAGATCAGTGTAGAGCTGATAGATGAAAAGGTCTAACAGCTCTGCACCAAAATGATCAATTTACATTACCAATTAACGGAAGAAGGGAAAGGTATCTGTCGGCTGTGATTGGTTGTTCCTCATCACATGACATGCAGTGCGGGCTGCAGCGTTCCAAAAGTTGAACTCAGTTTATCTCAGGGTGTAGCCCTGGCGCTGTGAAAAATAGGCGCTCAGGAACGTGTGCGCGCTTGCTGCATGGCTACATTATAAACAATTAATTCGAGGGCACAAAAAACGCAGCATGTGTATGGTCTCTAAAGCCACGCTAAGAAGAAGATGTTGGCCAATCAGATGCCTGAAAAACGCTATTATTGGAAGGCTACCAGTACCTGGAGCTAGAGTTGTACCGATACCACTATCGAAAATGCCTCCAATACTGCCTAAAATGCGGTATCCGGTATCGGCGAGTACAGCCTATGACCAATCCGATACCATGTAATGCCTCACGTCATTATGCATACGCATGCTACAGGCAAACGAAACGGAAACGGAGTGGAGTTTAAAAACCGTTCTACTGTAGCCTTTAAAATGTCTTTTTTTAACAAATTGTGTGGCTGCACTTTAACCTGTGTCTTGATCTGTGTCAACACTGGATAATAATAATAATAAAAAGTTTTATGGCATTCATTCTACTATTATGTATTTATTTCTTAATATTTTACATACAGTTTTAGGAGTTTAGACATACAACAATTCATATCCCATCCATTTTTTTTTTTTTTTTTGTTTTTTTCTTGGGTATCAGTATCGGCAGATACCTAAGGTTCAGGGGTCGGAATCGGTATCGGGAAGGAAAAAGTGGTATCGGTACATCTCTACCTGGAGCAGTGACCTCCTTAGCACAGTCTGACACCTCTGTTCCTCAGTGCAGTTGAAGAGTGACTGTATATTCATGTGTAAATGTCCTTTTAGCAAGGTTTGAACCAGCACTATTTTAATCACTTTCACTAATGCACAAAATGTCACCTCATTCGTGACGCCTCATGAAGGAGATTATAGCATGTTACAAGCCTATAACTCAATTTCCCCCGTCTACATGTTAACACTTCAAAAGGAGTTTCGGAAAATCTTCACTCTGGGTGGAGCTTTACAAAAGATCCGTTTTTGGATCCAAAATGCAGTTTGCATGTGGAGGAAAGGTTAAAACGCATAGAAAAACTACTACTACTACTACTACTTATTTTTAGTAGTTTTTTTTTTTTTTAAAGCATCCACACACTCAAATCTGTGTCCTTATAAATGAGCAAGCTTTCAATCAGAGAACTTCTTCAAGGTGTGAACAAGTGACTGCAGCAGTATAAAAGGTTCACTTGAACTTCACTTGATTAGCCTTAATGCAAAACTCTTGTGTCAGTCAGATGAAGTTGTGTGGCTAACCGTCAAGGGAGTTGTGGACCTGTGTTTAGTGGACTACAAGTTAAAGACACAGTGTCTGTAGAGACGGTCAAATAACACTGTGGGATATACAGACTTCTGCCAAACATAATTATGGAAGTGAAAACACTGAGTGAAGTAAAATAACAAACATATTCATATACAAGTTGCATAACCCCTCTTGTATTTTGATTTGCAGCTGAAGTAAAAGGATCAGATTGCATGCTGTGCAGCATGTCTTTAACGTTTAACAGAAACTCCCCTGATCAAGGCAAGTGAGCTCAAAAAATGCCTCGGCAATAAAAGCTTTTAACTTTCCACGTAAGAGAACATCCCGGTGCGTTTCACACACCTGCAGGACAGCAAAATATAGAACATTTTTCGAACTACAGTCTGATCCAAAATGCTTTCTATCTGTCCCGACACTATAAACACATATTTATCTCCAGCTCTGGTTTGCTTCAAATGTCATTTTCTATATAGGAAGAGGTCACAAAACACATTTAGATTATTGAGAGCCTGATTGGATCTCTATGAAAATCCACCTCCCTGCAGTATTACAGCACAGAAACGCTCTCCTATGATTGCATATCTGGTTTTCTGTTTGATGGCCTAATGTACAGTATGTGACCCACATTTGAAGGACAGCTGGCCCGCTTACAAAGTAGGATCACATATGCTTCGTTGGCAGTCATACTGTACTACACTGTATGAAATATTAACCCCAATTACTGGCTGTCATCAAATTATTATCAGAGTGAAAGATTTTGGTAACTTCAATCTTATTTTTTTGGATAATCTGCATGGAAAGAAGTAAAAGTAAAGGCAGAATGTAGATAATGAGCCTATGCCGGCCAGTTTTTAAAAATGTTTTTACAATAAAGACGTAAATCGATATAATGACCCACATTTTTCCTGTAGGAGAGGCTCAGAGGCCCGGACAGCAGCAGCCCTGTTTCCTTTAATCTTTATCCCAGCCTGATTCATAATGCCTTCAATCACACAGTCTCGGGGGAGGAAAAAGCTTCTTGTCTCCATCCTGTGACGTTTCATCTCTCTGATCCTGCAGGTATTATTCCCTGGAACGCCACTCCGGGAAAAGCTTGTGGAGCCACACTGGGGGACATCTGTAACACCAGCGAGGTGAGAGGACACTGACCTTTTCTTTTCCTTTCTTTATTCCCTCTCCTTCCCTCTCTAACGTTCTCTTTCTCTCCACAGTTCTACCTGTCCTACCACCTCTACATTGTCGCGTTTGCTGGCGCCGGTGCCACCGTCATCGCATTGGTAAGCCGCTCATGATCCTACTGATAATGTGCTGCTCAAAATATGCACGTTGCCATGGCGTGCTTATCTGTTGCCATAGCAACGCCCACCTCTCACACGTTTTTTTGTCAGTATGTTGTCCTATGGGTTGAGATCCAACCCTGCAGCCTGCCTCTGCTGCGTGAGTGTGTGTAGACGGGGTCAGTGTTTTACTCCGCTGTGGAGGCGGGCTGCTTTGTTTTCTGTCCAGGGAAATGGAGATACTAAAAAAGCAATAAGCAGATGTTGTGTTGAATCACCTGACAGCCCTCTCTGCGCTCTGATGTTTTCCAGCTTACTCGTTTAGCTTATACAGAATAGTATTTAAGAAACAAGGAAAAAGCATGTGAGCAGAAAAGTACCATTTAATTTGTGTTTAAGCCTTTTTTTTAGTTAGTTGTTTTCTCAGATTATTTTCTTTTCATTTAATTTAATTTAATTATTTTTCTACATTTGTATGGAGGCATAATACCTTTAGAAAAAAATTCTGCTGCGATTGTCAGTGATAATAAAATTGGTTTTGAACTGAGATGATAATGACAATAAAAAGGTTCAAATAAATGTTTAATGGCACAAATGGTCTCACTGACTGATGTTTCAGTACAGCAAAAAAACAACAGGTGATTCCACTATGTAGTACTTGTGAGTGAAATCACCTGGCAGGATGAAAATGAGTCTTGTTTAGCACTCAAATGTACGAAAGTTTAATGCATTCACTAAGAGAAAAAAATATGCATATATTTGCCCTGTTTTTTTTTTATCAATTATCAAGATAATTATCTCAGAATTTTGAGAAAAGTTTTGATTAAACAAAAAAAAACCCTTTCACATAATTCTGAGAAAATAATCTTCTTAAACATATATGTAACATTTCCTGCGTTAAAATGTCTCAAAACAACCAGACCAATGTTATATATTTTTGAGTTGTGCACTTACATTATCCCAAACCTTTCAAACTGAGTTAAAACCCAGAGAAATTTGTCTTTTTAATCAAAGTACGTGTCATTTGGTCACCATAGCCTGTTAGTGGTGTCATATCACCTTTGCACATGCATTAGGGTTTTGGTTGTCTGCAAGAAATAAATTGATCTAAATTTATTTTTAAATATATATATATATATATTTTTTTAAATTTAGCTTTATGTCAGCCATATTTATACAATACACCTTCAAGATCTTGGTTGTTGTTGTATTTCTTTATTATTATTATTATTATTATTAAAGGGTTAATTGCAAGCAAACAACCAATTACCAAAAAAAAGAGAAAGACAGATGTGTAACAAAGGCATACATTATAAAATTGGGAGACATTCCAGTGCAATATTTTTAAGTTGCTTAGGAGACCAGGCATCCTTCAAGGGATCTATTAATTAGTCAACACCAAAAAATGAGGCCAAGACTGTCATACATATGGGATCCAGATTGACCATAACTTCATGAATCTGTCCATTTGTAGGCGAAGTGAGAAGGTAATTATTTCCATTATGTATATTTCATTAACTATATCTGTCCATTCTTCTTCGTTTATAACTGTATCTTTTAACTGGATAAAGGTTTTAGTCATTGGACATCTGGGTTTTAACTTAAAAGAAAAACAAGTTGAGCAATCATCAGCAGAAACTCATCTCCAGTCCCTGCTGTACTGAGCAGCATTGGAAAAACTCTGATTTTGAATGTGACACTTTTGGAGAGGAAGAGACCTCTGCCAATAATTCAGCTTCCAGTAAAAACACCCTTGAACGAAGAGCACCAAAGGAATCCTGACCAGAAGAAAATGACTGCAATGACTGCAGTGCTCTGTCTTTTGTTGTTGATTTTTGATCTAGAGACCCAGAGCAGCAGAAAATACATTATGTAAGTACATGTACATATGTACATTAATGTTGAAAAACAGCAATTTTTTTCCCATGAAAACATTTCCTTAGAATTCTGAGATAGTAATTGAGAAAAAACAGGGAAAATGCATTTTTGTTTCTCAAGTGAATGCATTAAGCATCCTTAGATATGGGCTCATATGTTCATCCTACCAGGTGATTTCACTAACAACTACTACTTAGTGAAATCACCTGTTGTCTTTTGGCTGTAATTAAAACTTCTTGTGCCATTAAACATGTATTTGAACTATTTTTTTGGGTAATTAGTGTCTCCATTTAAAAGCTATTTAGCTATGGCCTATTTGTACAGCACTAAATTCAACTTTTCATTCTAAAGGTTACTAGGTGATTTTACTGACAATCAGTTTACAGTGCACTAAAGAAAACTTAATTTTTGTACACACTTGTCCCAAGCACAAAGGAAACAGAGGGGCTACTCACAGCTGCAAAACATAAAAACAAAGCGGTAGTGGTAAAACAGCTACAGAATTACATTTCTATAACACAAATTTTGCTTTCTTTCAAGCTGTGTCCAAATTCCACATCAATCAAGCTGAGATGCTTGCCAATTAAACTTCATAAATAAAGCAAAATGATTCTCCAGAAACTCACTCACAGTTATTTTCTTTGTTTCTGAAGTATTTTTGGAGCTGTTTTACTGCCATCCACCATTTCTCATAATGTTTGCCAGCTGTTAGCAGTTCTGTCATTTCCTTTGTGTGTTGCATCGTGGGAGAACAGTTCCCATCAACAACACAAACAAAAAGGTCAAGCATTTTTTAAGTATGCATACTGCTTTAGAGGATACTACAAACTCAAAACCTGCTTAATATCAGTATGGAATTAGGACGCAGTCAAACTCCTCCACTGCACATTATTTAACGTACTTAAATGAAGGATCTCGGTTTCTCTTCAGATCCACTACCTGATGATTTTGGCGGCCAACTGGGCCTACCTGAAGAGCGCCGTCTCCACGCACGAGTACCAGGACATCAAGACCAAGGATGACCAGGATCTGGAGGCCGAGGCACGCTCCAAGGAGGGCCAGAACTCCTCCTCCTACTCATAAGGACAAGCGATCCTCTCCCGCCACCACCCATCTCCTCTCCACACCTCAACCCCCCACCCTGCAACACCCAGCGCCCACCCCTCCCTCCGTTAAAACAAACCACCTCGGTCATGTTTGATAGTCCCCCAACCTCCTGATTCTCCATCCTCTTCCCTTCCATGATGTTTCTTAAGAGTCGCGGGCTCACACCAGAAGGGAAGAGAATAGAGGATCAGGAGAAGCGGCAGGCCCAGACGGAGGCAGATGCTTCAGAATGGGAGAGCTCGCCCGCCGGGGTGGAGCTCAGGTACGGTACATCAGTTCAGAAGCGTCTCCTCCCCCGTGCTTTTGGGCGGCGGCTCGTGAACGTGGCCCGGCTGTGATGGCCTCGCGCCCTGAGCCAGCACAGCCTCTCGACACACAGCTCCTAACAGCCTAAATAAACATTGTTCACTGTCTGCTTCAGCCACAGAGAAGCCAGGCAGCGACCAACTTCCTCCGTTTTTTGGTGTTTTATATGCATATATATATGAATATGAATATATTGTGCGAATGTGTACGAATGTTGTTGTTTTTTTTAATACTCTCTGAAAAGTATGCCAGGTCCTATTACGATCTTTCTTCTTCTTTATGTTTTTGCGCTCATAGGTTTTTTCTCCTTTGCTTTCTTCTCCATTTTAGACTTTTTATTGCTAATGCTCGATATGTTGTTGCACTATTACGAAAACTAAAAAATAAGGGAGAATGAGAATCCCTTAAAAACACAAAGCACCCCAGCCCCCCCTCTCTCATAGAAATACCTAAAAGACTCCAATCATGTGGTATCTCAAGGATTATTGTGCATTTACATGATCAGAGTTTATTTATCTGCCAAGGTATTAACCGTTTATTTAACACCAGAGGTGTAGCAAACTTTTATTAAAGGAATACTTTTGGTACATACGCTTATTAGCTTTCTTGTCAAGGGATAGATGAGAAGACTGAGATCAATCTCATGTCTGGATGTTGAATATGAAGCGAGAGCTAGCAGCCGGCTAGCCTACGTTAGCATAAAAAGTGTAACTTTGCTCTGTTTAGAGGCAACAAAATCTGCCTACAAGCATCTTTAACGCCTCGTTTCCAGTTTTGTTTTGTGTGTATTTATACATAAAGTATAATGAGTGTGCCCCCAGTGATGAATGCTAGGAAATGCATCTCTTTACAGATCAAAAGATGTGTGGATGTGTGTTAGCTAGCTAAACGTGCCATCAATCTTTTCAATTAAAAAAATGTGCGGTATGCAGCCCACTGAATATGCCCAGTAGTGTTTCTCCTACTGGCCCCGCCCATGAGTTCCCTCTTGGCTTTACACTGTGATGACGTCACAGACTTTAAAATCGCTACTCAACAAGAGGAAAGTTTTACAAATATTAAACCTGATGGTTTAAAAATTCAGAATAGAAAGACCTTGTTCACAGTTCGCAAGCAATTTTACAGACGTCTCTTTTAGGATGGGGGTCTATGGGGAAAATGCTTATTGGGCTGCAGGGGAATTTTTTCACTGCAATACCAGGAATGGCCACTGGGAAAAATTTGCTACAAGGCTGAGAAGCTTTTTAATGTACCAATGTTAGCGAGCTAGAGCGAGACATGCCGTTGAACTTATTCCTTAGAAAAACATGTATATATAGAGCTGTATTAACGGTGGTTCTTCAATCTGTTAGCTAATTTGTTTTCTGCTAACTTCCTGTGGCACAGTGCATATGGTATGTCTGAAATCAGCCGCAAAAGTTCAGTTTTTTCAACATACTTCAGGCACATTCTGGGCCGGAAAAAAAAGGAAGGAGGAGTTTCGCAAATATCAGAGGTGATGGAGGTTGTCGCGCATATGTACCCCAAGCTATGTAAAACGAGGCATAAAGCTCACTAATTAACATGGTATATCTCATTTCTTTAATTCACACAAAGCTAGCATTAGCTTGGTATTTCCCGTTCAAACATGACAGTGGTATCAATCTTCTCATTTAACTCTCGTCAAGAAAGCAACAGGGTATTACGATTAATTTTTGCTACACTCATCACCAGCGGCAGCAGAAATCAAAGAAAAATCTGTCTGGGTCTTTTAACACAAGAAAGACACACACCTCAGGTATCAAACCAAATCAGATTTCAGCCAGTTGTGTTCTTTTCCAAAGCTTCACCATCTAAACACTAACCCTCGCCGGATTGGTACGCTGTCCTGTGTGAATTCTACAGTAAAAACCGGTTCTGTCATTTTCTAAAATCCCTTCTTTTTGTGAATGAAGTCCACCTGTAAATAGCTGAATCACCCTAAAAGATCTCGATTTACACCTCTCCCAAACCGTGGGGAACACAGTCAGTGTTTTGCCATGCTCTTCTATTATTTTTTTCCACAGATATATGTAAATGTACCCTTTGAGATATGTGTTTAGCACTCAAATACTAGTTCTGCATTTGATATAATAATTGTAATGTAACATCTTAAATGATATGTCGTGAGAGGGATACAGTGCAGTATGATATGATGGATTGAGGTGCTTGTGACGTATACATTTTAAAATGAGACAAAAAAAATGGAAATTGATTTTTAATGTTTTATCAGTTTTAGGCAGCTGAGTTCTTCTTGTGATTCGGTAATAATGATTTTATGGAACTTGTTTGTGCTTTTTTTTTTTCGCCAAATGACTCGTCAACATGTGAGTTGACAAAAAAAAGTCACTTTTTCTTTTCTTTTTTTTAATTTTATTTTGAACGTCATGCCTCTCACATGAGCCACAGAGACTGTTTTGGATGTTTACACTCTGAATAAAAACAAGTCAGGAATTTTCATACATTAATTTTATAATCAGATATTGTTTAATAATCATGAACTATATTCTATATCGATCATCACTGGTTAGTTTACCCTAACAAAAAAAAAAAAAAAAAAGACAAATATTTGAACTTTGATGAGATGAAGCATGTCAGTATCGTCCATGTGTGCAGCTGTCTATTCTGTATAAAAAAGGACTATATTGCCATGTGTGTTATGTTTGATAAATATACGTGCTTTGCCACCAGGTTGATGTAAAGGCAAACTTCAATTTCCTATAAGACGATGCGTGTCAGGGTGTTGTTGTTTCCTCGTTATTTGCATGAAGGAGACATGACTGTGTCTTTGCAGTTTTTCAGGTGATGTGTAGTCAATTGTACTGACAACTATGGTAGGCGGTGTTTGCCCCCCTCCTCCACACTCCCCTTCCCTCCCTCTCCACCCACTCTTTTCTAAAGAAAACTCCATTGTACTTTGATGGCATTGTAGTCCCTGTAGGTGTTTCATTATGGTTTTATTTTTTAAGTTGGAAATAGTTCTATGACTCCTATATAGTGATGATTTTTGTAACCTTCTCTAGTAAAACCGATATTTTTTATTATCGTGACACCGTTGTCTACTGTCTCGTTCTTGTGTTTGGGTTTTTTTCTCTTTTAATAGTAACAAGTCTATATTTAAGGCATTGCCGCAAAGCTGGATTATTATTTCCATACATGATCCATTCTAAAAACAGGTTGCCAAGGTTGACGTCTCTAAGTTGCTTTTCTTTCGCTCAACCAACAATCCAAAAAACATATATATTTATTAAAATGCAACATAGAGCAGCAATATAGCACCCCAGGGATGACATTTTTCTGTAGGCTGACGCGGAAGTTAGCTTCACAGTGGTTCCCTCATCAAAAAGCCTATCAGATTTTTCCATTGAATTTATTATTGAAGAAAATAAGCTGTGATACTCACGTTTTGTTTAGCGAGATAATCTTCACAAATAAACACCACTTTTGTGATTATTGAAGCCTAAAGGCAAACGCTAGAAGTAAAAAGCTAATGTTCGGTGATAAACAGACGTCATCACCATAACGAGGCTATAAAGCTGTGTTCGGCGTGATGTCATTCTGTAGTCTCATTTAGCCACTTGTTAGCGCCTGCCTTTTTTAAGACGCACAGAGGTTTCAAAGTTCACAAGTGGGGTATTTTCTGATGTATTTTATGCCGTGGAACAAAACGTGAAAGTCTCTTCAGCTTGTGTTAACCACAGACCTTGTTTCAGGCATCTAACCAAAAACCCATTCAAAAAAACCCACTGACTGTGAGTGGGAAAATGCTAACTCATTTCCCGGTTTTTAGAGACTCATTCCTGGGGCACTCTATTCCTTGCATGCAGAAGAAAAATTAACATCAACTATAAAGAGAATGACGGCTTGTATATCAATTATTTACCATGTTACACTGAATTCGTCAAGAAAGCTGTGGAGCGGTGAAGGAGGAATCTAAAGCGGAGAAAAACTAGATCACACAACTCATGCAGTGTAATCCAAGTCTGATTTATCCGAACGTGCTGCGTACTTCCCAAACAGACACTTCTTTCCAACACAGGACTGAACTCAAAGAGAAACATATCCGTGCTCTCTTCAAAGCCAGACTCCATTGACAAAAACAGTTATTTTACCTTGTTGAACACTGGAGCTGCTGGTCTACTGCTGCTTCTATTAGTTTGTTTGTGTTATGGTGTGACTTTGGTGAATCCAAACTAACCCATAAAACACCAAAGTCACACCATAACACAAGTCTGGATTGAGGCAGTGGTAGACGAGCAGCTCAGCTTCAAGCAAGATAAAATTACTTTTCTTTTCTCAGTGGAGTCTGGCTTTGAAGGGACTATAGACACGTTTGGGCTGTCTGTTTGGGAAGTACTGAGCATATGACTGGATAAGTAACACTTGGATTATACTGCATAAATTGTGTGTTTTGCTGTTGTTACACATTGTCATTTTACTCTAAAAATAAAGTAATTGACAAAATATTTTAATTGCAACACTAAAAAAAACTAGAAAAATCTTACATTTCTGAGGTTGGAAGCTTGTGTGAGCTGTAATCAAGGAGTAACTCTTGCAGCAGGTGAAGCTAATTGACTTGGACGCTGCCTCCTGAGCAATAGAGCAAGACTCCACACACCCACACAGGTGATATCACTTATGTTCCCTAATTAGAGCTCTGCTCAGAGGTGTGGGGTAAGACTGCATGTGACTCACATTCCCTATTTATTTGGTTGGAAACAAAAGATCATTTTTTATTTAAAGTGCAATTTGCCAAGCCCACGTTATTCCCAGAAAAGCTCTGCCCAACTTTAAACTGACCAGTAAGTGAAAACACCTGTGTGTCACTGTGTCTGTAGCTCATGGGCTGGTAGCTGATAACTGATACGTGGGTGCCACCTTGTGGACAAACAGGGTACTGCGCTTCAAATTTAAAAAATGTAATAACACACAAGAGGCTGATTTTTCTCTGCTGCTGGCTACTGTTTTATTTCAAATGTAAAAAATATGGTGGGAGTCATTTGAGTCTTACAACAAAAGTTTCAGGTTCAGCAGCGTGCTCAGCTTTTCATCGTGAGAGGAGGGGCTAATAATTCTAGCAACAACTACGAGACACACTAAATTCCATCATGGCATCACTGGTGTAACCAAAAGTCAAGATCATTTTAATCAGCAACGTTTGTAAGATCTTTTTTGGCACTATCATCCAAACAGAACAGAAAGGATCTTTTATCTGAACTTTTTTAACTATTAAATCTAGTTGATCATGTGATTAACTCTATAAAATCAGCACCAAAGTAATCTCATTAGTTATTTACCAGAAAGACAGTGGTTTCTACCTTCAATTTGATTCGTCATGTACACTTTACACTGTACGCATAACTTCAAATATGACACGTTTTATGCAAACAATAATGAGAACTACAACAATTAAGACACCGATAACTTAAATTGAGTTGCTTTCTAAGGGTGTCAGCAGGTTGCAGTCCTGCCTTATGGTAGGTTAACTGGGTTGATTAAGGACAATCAGTACTAAATCACAATGATTTAGCTGTAAAGGTGGTTGTATCTGCTTCTAGGGGCAGAAATAACCTCAGAACTTCTCTTTTTGTGGTCTCACACTCGTAGCCACAGCTTCAACAGTGACGCCAAATCTGCTTTTTAACCTTTGGCAGTTTTATGTTTAGAGAACTGTTCAGAGGTGACATAATTTAGCTTTTATCACAGGAACCCAAGTCACAGTCACTCCCTAAAGGCCTTTAAATTTCAGGTATCAGCTAGTTACAATGACCTCTAACACAACTGAGGTTCATCACTGACCACAAATACATCTATAAATGTGTATCAGAAATATTCTATTAACTAATCATTAATAGTTGGTTTAAATTATTAATCACATTCCTGAGAAGGCCCAGTCTGGCTCAGAGTTGGGAGATGGTGGGTTTTGGGTCCCTTCTGTGCTGAAAATGCGGAATATTAGCACTAAATATTGTCATTTTAGTCTAAAAAAATATCACAAATGTGGATCCTGCTCACAGGTTCATCTGAGGGCATCACATACAGTAGCTAAACACAAGTTCCTCTTTCCACAGAGTCACAAACCACACATATTGTCTGCGGTGACTGCAGGAGCATCACATGAGCTGCGAGTCACCTTTAGCTCAGCAGCAGGTGGGGTCAGGGTTACTCTTCTTCTGCAGGTCCACTGTGTTGGTGTGGATAAGGTGGTCAGCTCTGTCGTCCAACGCCAGAATGCGTCGTACCGCCTCCTCAAAGGCCGACGCTACATTTGTAGCATCCTTGGCGCTTGTCTCAAAGTATGGGTGGCCGCCGTTCTCACGGCACCACTGCCGGGCATCCTCCCCTGACACCTGCCGCTCGGGCACATCCAGTTTGTTGCCCAGCACCACGAAGGGGAAGTTGTCAGGGTCCTTGACGTCAGCGTAATAAGCAAACTCCTTCTTCCAGTTGATGAGGTTGCTGAAGCTTTGTCCGTCATCAACACTAAAGGTGAGCAGGCAGCAGTCGGAGCCACGATAGAAAGGTGTGCGGAGGCTGCGGAAACGCTCCTGACCCGCTGTGTCCCAGATCTGCAGGGTGACGTGGTGGCCGTCCACCTCCAGCTCTTTGTTGAGGAACTCCACACCTATGGTGTGGAAGAGGTGCGAGTCAAACTTGTTGGTGACGTAGCGGTTCATGAGCGATGATTTCCCGACACCACCGTCACCCAGAAGGATCACCTTCAGGAGGGCGGACTTGGACATCATGACTGCAGAGGGCCAAGTTTGGTCTCACTAGTCTGTTCGGAGACACCAACAAGAGAGGAAGTGGTTCCACCTGAGGAGCACAAACACTATTTTTTCCCCTTTTATAGACCAAACAATTTATTCATGGGAAAAATAATCAACAGATTATTCAATAATGAAAATAATATTTAGTTGCAGCCATAGTCACATTTAAAAAGAAACTACCACAGATAACTTTAAGAGAAACTTTGGTATTTTTCAACTCTATTTTCTCATGTTTTTTGTGTCTAAGTGAGGTTAAGGGTAAGGTTTTCCGTCAGGAAAGACTTTTATTGATTTCTACCTTTGGCCTCACAGATAGAGCCGTGCTTCAGATAAGAACAAACTGCGCAATCAGCTTTCACTTAATCACAAACTGCCTGTAAGGAAGCCAAACTTACTGTTTACATTTTCCCTCACGCTCAGACTGTGAGGAGAACTGATTAAAGTCAGTCGACTATCTAATCCTATTAAAACAGCCACATCCCACTCATTACACTACACCACTTATGAACTTCCTACACTGTATTAATATGTTCAGTATGAAATGATCTGAGCTGAGCATCACATGGACACTGATCACAGGACCAGTGAGTCGTCCACAAGTCACAACAGGAAAAAAAAAAAAAAAAAAAAAGAATTCAAAACTCACCCTTACATCAGCACACAGATCATTTTGTCACCAATCTGTAAAAGAGAGACAGAGAGAATGTATCTTTACAAATCACCACGTGGCCAAAGGAGTTCACCCACTCTCAGGCTCAGCTGCAAACAGAAGTGACTAATGAGGATATATGCAGCAGAAATTTAATCACGTACCACACACTTGCATGCTTAACATACCAGTTTAAGCTAAATGGCAATCATTCCTCCCACATACCAGAGGAAATCTGCGAGATTAAAGTGGGAAGTCTCACAGAGAGCAGGTTTAAATGGGAGCGAGGGGGAGAACACCTCGTCCATCACAGTTAAGATGGAGCACTGATCCATCACTGACTGTCACAGTATCAACAAGTGTGTCTGGGGACATGCCTGGATAACAAATAACAAGTCTAAAGCAACCAGTGTGCAGACAAACTGCCTTTAAAGGAATATTCCACCAATAATCTATCTAATGAGTATAATAAACCCTAGAAACGTAGCTGTAATTAAATGATTTTATGTGATTTAATTTCCTACAGCTAGGGATGGGTTTAAAAAATTAGGTAGCCAGTACCATTGTAGTGATAACAATACCAATATATAGGAGTACATAATCGATACCCATAATGTGAATGGAATAACGGGTAGTATAGCCATCCATTCAAACGACTCTTCCACACCACATACTGTATGGGTTGTAGCTGCTGCAGGAGTGTGAGCTTTACGCCAGGGACAATCGTGAGATTCTGCTTGGCTGCACACACAGCGAAAAGGCTAGCTGTTAGCATCACACGGCTATGGTTACCTAACACAATGGGTTGTGTACCGTTTTCTGCTGTAGAGTGAGTGACTACTTGACAGACAGCAAACTAGCTCAACGATATGGCCCAACGCAAGTATGACACTGAATATATTAAACTGTTTAAACTTTGAACTAATGACTAAGGAGGAATCTGGACCACGTGGCTGGACCAGTTGGGAACCACTGACCTGACACTTATTAACAGATCTGACATACACAGCTCGGTGTGGGATGTTAGCCGCAGCTGCTATGTTAGCTCGTGCTAGCCAGGCAGACATTGAGCTGACCTTTCGCTGGGAGAAGACCAGCTCTGGAGACAGCAGAAACAGAAAGCTTGCCAATCTGGCGGGGGGTCGGGACGGCCCCCTGGCACAAAAAGGATCAAATGCAGGTATCATCTGAGACATTCTGATAGTACTTGGTATTAAGTTTTTTTGTTGGCCTACCTACGGCTCAAGAAGATGTCTTAAAATGTCTTTTTTTGTTGAACCAACAGTCCAAGACCTAAAGATAGTCAGTTAACTATACAACAGAGACGAGCATGTAATCATCACATTTGAGAGGCTGGCACCAACAAACATTTGGCACCTTTGTTTGAGAAATAACTATGGGACTTCCACGCATTCTCACTGACAACATATCAAAACTTTTCCCTGACTTTTCAAGGACACATGACAGAATTTCACTTTGCTGTGTCTGTGGCACTTACAGTGTCTCACTTCCCATAACAAACAAGGTTGTGAAATGTCATGACTTTTCCAGGTTTTTTTCATAACCTTGGGAACCCTGTAACTAAAATGAGAGTACAAGCAAAAGCAATATGTACTACGGCTGTCTCGGCATCCAGCAGGAGTGCACAGCCAATTAGGATAAACTGGCCAAATCCCCTGCTTGTTAGGAAAAGCTAGGCTCCTCTACAGAGTTTAAATACATGAATGAAGCGAGGAGGGCTTCGCTGTCACATGAACAGGCAGCCATACGCATGCTCAGCCCAGTGACCAAATCTGAGTAAATGATGTCTTTGTCCTGGGACCTTTTAACACAGTCTGCAGCGCTGCTTCTGTCCTGTCATCTGGGGGAATATTAATGTTTTATTAAAAGGCAGCAGAGGCAGCAATGAATGGACACACAGTCACACACACACACAGAGGTCATGTGCCTCATATGCTGCTATTTAAATAGAAGGCTGCTCTTTTTTAAGTTATGAATATTTCCTCCAAACAATCACGATTTAATTGTATTTCCATTCATGTATGAGAGTCAGTATGCTAAATCAGCAGGGTGATCATCTGCACATTCAGAGACATGACAGGAGAGCCAATAACATGTTTACTATTATACAAGATTTATAACGACAGCTGTCAGAAAACACTTTTACAGGACACAGTTAACTTTGCAAACTTTCATTGATAACTACAGATCATGTCAGCAGATTTTAAAAGCATTACATAATAATTAAGTTACAGTCTTGTCTGCTGAGCAGTATTACAATATTTACCGTTTCCAGCTATCAAACCTTCATTAGATCCATGGTCGGACACACAGTCTTGCCCTGCCGAAGTTAATGTTTTTGCCAGTTATTCTTCTGTACCAACACTTTGTGTCTTTCACCACTTTTAATAAAATATTAAGATGAACTGAAGAGCATGACATGATAGTTGAAGTCAAAACGTAACCGTTAACCGTTGCTCAAGTTACTCGTTAACCGGTGCCATTCAAATTAGTTAGCTTAAATCAACTTATAAAAAGAGGTGTTCATCACCCTAAAACTAGCACACACTTTCATTAGCGTGGCTGAATATTGAATATGGCTTACTGTTTAGTCGTCGTCAATATTTAATACAAATTATGCAAAAGAAGTAAAGCAAATGAAGCTTTGTCCGATAATGGAAGCTTTACCGTAAACTGTAGCTGTCCGATAATGGGTGCGCTAACAGTTGCACGCGCGTGACTTCACTGACCGGTTAAAACCACACAAAGTGGCCATTTTAGACACTCACATTTGAAGTTTTGCAATCTTAATAACTGTACCTGTTAGTGTGGTGGTCACAGCCCTGCTGCTGCGGTTAAACTCCCCTCGTACATCCCGGCAGAGTGCTGCTGTCAGCCGGTGACATGGCGCTCCGGTGTCACCTCCGCTGCTCTCTGGCCCCGCAGCCGCTGATGACGCTCACATGACCGGGGAGTCACGCCTCCTCATCATGCGCTCTGCTGGATGTCAGCGCGTCCACCTTTTATTGTGCTTTAATATCCTTCTCTGTTCCGCTGCACATGTGAGATCGGTTTTCTAAAACATACCCATCTTTAAACATAGAAAATACCTGACCTATGTTAAAGGTCAGTGGGTTAAAACAATGGTTCCTAACCACAAGGGGGTTAGGAACCTTCAGAGGGTCCCTAAATTAATGTGAGGGGTCACAAGATAACTCAAGTTATAAGAAGGAAATGTCTCTTTATAGTCATTTTGTGGCCTTTTTTGGTTGTTTTCCCTCTTTTTTGTAGTTACTAAGTGTCTCTTTGTAATCGTTTTGTGTTTCTTTGTTGTGATTTTGTGTCTTGTTTAGTCAATTTGTGTCTCTTTGAGATCATTTTGTCTTTTTTTAGTCCTTTTGTGTCTCTTTGAGGAAATTCTGTGGCTTTTTTGTCAATTTGTGTCTCTTTGAGATAATTTTGTGTCTTTTTTGTATGTACTTTGTGTCTTTTGCAGATGTTTTATGTCTCTGTAATCATTTTGTGTCTCTTTTTGGTTGTTTTTCCCCCTTTGTGGTTATTTTATGTCTTTGTCATCGTTTTGTGTCTCTTTGATGCATTTTTGTGTCGTGGGGTGATTTTGTCTTTGTTTTGTAGTTTCTTAGTGTCTCTTTGCGGTTATTTTTATCCCTCTTTTGCTCATGCTGTGTCTTTGTAGTCATTTCATTTCTTTTTGAGACAATTTTGTCTCTCTTTTGTAGTTACTCAGTGTCTCTTTATAGCTGTTTTGTGTCTCTTTGTAGTTATTTCATGTCTTTTTTCGTTGCCCTGCCCCTGTTGTGTCGTTAATTTTGTGCCACTTTGTCGTTGTTTTGTGTCTCTGGGGTAATTTTGTTTCTTTTTTGGTAATTTGGTGTCTCGTTGAGGTCATTTTGTGTAATTTTTGTAGCTACTATGTGTCTCTGTAAGTGTTTTGTGTCTCTTTGAGGTCGTTCTGTGTCTTTGGGGCAATTTTGTCTCTTTTTCTTTTAGTTATTTAGTGTCTCTTTGTAGTTGTTCTGTGTTTCTGATGCAGCTTTGTGGCGTTTTTGGTCACCACCTGTCTCTTTGTTGTCATTTTGAAGCAATTTGTGGTGATTTTGTGTCTCTTTGACATCATTTTGTGTTTTTTTTTTCAGGCAATTTGGGTCCTTTTAGATATTTTGTGTGTCCTTGAGGTCGTTTTGTGTCTCTTTAAGACAATTTTGTCACTTTTTTTGTAGTTAGTCCCTCTTTGTGGTTGATTTATGTCTCTTATGTGTCATTTTTGGCTTTTCTGGTCATTTAGTGTCTCTTTAATGTCACTTTGTGTCATTTTTGGTTGTTTTGTAGTTGTTTTGCATCTCATTGCAGTTCATTTGCATCTTCATGTGGTGTTTTTGAGTCTCTTCCTGGTCAGCATGTGTTAATTTGAGTGACATTTTGCAGGTGAAGGCCAGGGGGCCCTGTACCTGTACCCAGTAGGCCCATTTAGTAAACCATCCATGCTTACTATACATAACAGTAACCCTTGTGCATTATCATTGCCCCTGCACAGCATAAATTAGCAAAGACAATCTGAATTTATGCATATCTGCAGGTTTGCAAGCCTCTTACAGTCGGAGCCCAAAACTTCTTATCTGTGTCTGCAGTGTGTTTTGTCTGTTTGTATCTGCGTGCATGTGGAAGGCAGAGAAAATATAAATGGCTACACAGCAGTGATTTCACAGGCCACCATGACTGAGAGGGTGGAATCCGTCTCCCAACACTACGCTCAAAAGATAGGGAGCATCTGAGAGAAGACACAACAGAGAGAAAAGCCACAGTGCTGAGATACCGAGCAGCCACACTCCTACTGTATCTGCCAGACAAGATATTGCAGCTCTAAATCTGATGAGAACCATGACAAGGGGATTTTATCTTTGGACATCCCTGAACTGTCCTTTTAAAACCAACTGAGCCTGCTGCAAGGAAACAGAAGTTGTGTTGAGCTAGGAAATGCATGCCTCACTTAATTTCAGGTCAGAAATTGAAAGGTTTTATTTAAAAAATTAAAGACTCTTCAGCCTGCGCAGTAAAGACCCATCAGTATGATGTCATGATGACTTGTAATCAAGTCACTGTGCCACGTCGGCTGATTGAAGAACCATGGGACATCCACCCGAGGCTGCTCAGGAGGGCAGATTACTGACTCACATGCTCACCGTTTTCTAAGGTCACATGTCTCATCCACTGCAGCTCCAAGTGAATGGGATATTATAGGGAGCCGGGGGCATGTTTTCTTCCTCTGTGAAAGGAATTTAAGCATTCATACCAAGTGTGACTTACAATAAGTGCAGCACTTTCTTCCTCGACATCAACAAAATCAGGCAGTAATGAGGTTATAGTTCAGGACTGCAGTGGCTTTACATTATTCCTCTGACCACAAAAAGTCAGACAGAGGAGCCAGGGAAAGCAGTTAAATGAGCTACTGTAAGTATAGACTAACTGCAGGAGACAGGAAATGATTCAGCAGGAGGAAGATGACGAGATCTACTTCTCTAAAAATTGCGGTTTCTGTCTGCAGCTGCAACAGGCAGTGACTCGGCTTTTTCAGCCCATAGTAGAGATGTAATCGCACAGTTTGGCCGTTTAGGTATGGATTTACTGGTGAATGCACACGCAAAAAACAAGGATACATCCTTAAAGAATGTCTTGTTCAAACCACAAGTCTGTGCTCCATCCCGCAAGAATGCTTCTGTCCTTTGTTTCCACTCTGGATTCCTCTGACCATTCTTCCTGTTTCAGTGTTTAACAAAATTCTTGAAGCATTTAATGGGCTGCAGGAAAATTCTCATTTTGTTGTTTTTGCATTCACCATTAAAAACACATATCAGCACTTATGGGTTCAAATCTTGCACCTTTTTGACCACAATGATTTTAAATCTTTCCATCTTTTGAACAGTTTCTCAGTCTACACAGAATCATGAAATCTTTTGACTGAGGTGAAAACAGGAAAACCACTAACATGAGTGCGGTTTCACTCGATGTGGTAAAATCAGCAACACTGACAGTTTGTGTCATTTTACTAAGTCAAAATGCTAAAAACCTTTTGATATCAGCTCCTCAAAGTGAATTTGTGATGTATTTATTGATAGTAAACTGAATATTTTTGGGAATGTTTGACGATTTTCTTACCCTTTACACCCACTGAAGCCATCATCTGTAACACTGAAGCATTCTTGTGCAAACAAGAATAAGAGACCCACTTCTCCTCTCCCAAAGAAGTCAGACTGTCCTCCAGGGCTTAACGAACAAGTATTTTATTTTCAAAAATTAATCTGTTGATTACTTTCTCAATTAATCACTCATGTGTTTGATCAATAAAATGTCAGAAAGTTTTAAAAACTGCTTTCCAGAATACAATTTGGTGTCTTAAGACATGGTATTTTGTCCAACCTACACCTTCCAAATCCAAAAGTTCTGCTTACTATCATAGAAAACAAAGAAAACTATGGAAGCAGATAAGAGACAAAATATGTTTTTGTTTTCAGCCACTGAATTTAAAGCACTGAAATATTTTACTTGAAAAACCATGTGTCTGAATTTAATTGTCCTGAATTCACCTCCTTGAAATTTCTTGATTTGCGATTTTAAAAAAGCTGAATTTTAATCTATTTTTTCAGTGTTACCAAATTGGGATCCAACAATTCAAGTTTTAGATTTTAAAAAAAAAAAATTGAATTAAATTTTGGGATCTGAATTTGTGAAAACTGAAGAAAAAAAAATCTAATTCAGCTTTTAAAATTGTAAAGCAAGAAATTTCATATTTTAATATATTCTGATACATTCTCATATTTTCATATAGAAGCAAATTTGCATTCATTTAGCTTAAAAAATGATTCATTCATTATCAAAATTGTTGCTGATTAATTTACTGTGATTAACTAGTTAATTACCATAAAAGTTTAATTAATAGCTATTAATGGCTATTATTTGCTTAAATCACTAAAATCAACAGGCCTGTATTTGCGACAGGCTTTTAATTCCTTTCACACAAAACTGTTGCTCAGTAAAGATGGGACATACAATCAACTTGTTTATTTACACCAGTATGAATATTGTATAAAATCTGCTGTCTGGATTCAGAGGCAGACCCAGCCGCTGTGGTACCACTGCTGCCCACACTTGCTGCAGGTCACAAAGGTCATTGCATCCGAATCAGGCCCGCTCTGCCTCACCCAGGCAGGCAAGAAAAGGGCCCCCCTGGACACCTGCGTCACCTTACAGTCTGATTCCCCGCATCTTTTGCATCTTATCTTCTGTGTCCGTGTCCCTTCTATCCCTTGAGGAAGCTGCCTCTTGCTCACGCCGCGGGACGAGTACTCCTCCCTCAGCTGCCGGAGCTCTGCGCTGGCCATCTCCTCCGTCGACATCTGGGCGAAGGCCTCGGGTGACAGCGAGCCGCTCAGGAGGCCCTGACATAGATGCCCGTGTTTAGGGTTCCTCAAGTTGGCCACCTTGCTCCTCACACAGGCTTTGTATTTGACCTGGCTGGATTTGTGGAGCTCGTGGATGTGCTGCTCGATGTCTGTGGCCAGCTCTGCAGCCTTGTCTTTATCAGGAAGTTCAGGGCAGAGAGCAGTGAGAAGGAGCTGGACACATTTGGATCTTACAGATGAGAAACTAGAGGATGCAGAGGTGCTCTCTGCAGTCAAAGAAAGAGTCTGGGGGCCATCTCTTGCCACTGAGGAAGATGCTTCTTGTGCTGCGCACTTCACATTCTCCACAGCACTGTCACATGTCTGTGCCGAATCAATGTGGGAATCCCCCTGCTTGCAAACTCCTCCATCCCCGGCCTCGTCTGTTAGAGAAACCATGCGACAGAGCTCAGGCCTCACACCTTGTCTATCTTTGCTGTACTGTCTCTTCCAATTTGACAACACGCTCTTTGCCACCTTCTTCACGCTGGTATCAGAGCAGCTCTTCAGGAGCCTGTAGAGTACTTTAACAATGTCCGTTGTTTCTAGCTGCTCTGCTGTGATGTGCAACTTATCAAGGTCACCAAGGAGGGTCATGATGTTCCCATAGCTTCTGTCTGCGTGGGCTCTTTCTATCTGCAGAGCACAGTGGACAATTTCTTTTGCATCCATGGTGGCTGCAGAGAGATAGATAAGACACTTTCATTGCAGAGAGGTTTCTAACTATGATGGTCGATGCAAAAAATGCGAATGGCCCTATCTAGAGCCAGTGTTTGGTTTGTCCGTTCTGGGCTACTGTAGAAACATGGTGGTGGAACATGGCAAGGTTTGTAGATGAGGACCCGCTTCCTATGTACATATAAACAGCTCATTCTAAGGTAACAAAACACAGCAATTGTTATTTTCAGGTGATTATACACCTATGAAAATATTATATTATGTTCAATTTCTTGAGACACTGGACCTTTAAATAGTTAAATAACTCCTGAATATAGATCTGTAACTTAATACACAAACACTTGCAGGATGCACCATTACACATATTCAAATAAAAGTCTGTGTGTTTGTGTTTCTTTACCTGAAATCCTTCATGGTTTGCAGCTACTTCACACAAGCAGTTTGCCTGAAAACGTCTGTAAGGGAGCAGCCATGTTGGATCTGTCTTCAAAACATGAAGTTGCCTGACTTCACCTCTAGATGGTGCTGCAGCCTCACACAATTACACACCCATGGAGCTCACCACAAGCTTCTAACGAAGGAATTAAATGTACTAGAGGCTGAGCATGTATTATGCTTCTTTATTTATTTTAATCATGACATAATTTTTCTAAAGAATGAAGATGAATGCAGTTTTTTTAAAATGTGAGCCTGAGTGAAGGGAGTGTCATCCTGAATCCTGTAATCCCCCCTCGCGGCACTTTGTGGTGTTAAATCTGTTATTGTATCACAATAATAAGGCAGTCGTGCTGTGATTTGTTTAAATGTACTGCAGGATTAGCTCTTTATGAGGGGATTTTGGTGTGTGCATTTGGCTTTTTGGGTTATTCCCTGTTTAGAAACCAGGCTGTATTTTCACAACTCTTTTCTATACGTGTTGACAGGAGCAACAAAGCTGGATTAACATCTGTGTCAAAGCATATGAAGAGGTGAAGATGTAGATATTCAATAAAAACATAACGTCAAGAATGTTCTTGGATCAATCTGTATGATTGTGACTATTTCTGGATGGCTGTGGTGAAGATGGAGGATTCACATTCAAACAACCAGACAGCCTCCAGACAAGAATCCAAGAGTGGACAGTAGCTGTTCAGCTGTGCAATTATATGTTGTGAAGGAAGAAGATGAATGAGTGTAAAGTATAATTCATGGTTGTAGAGCTAAGACAAGAACCACTACAGTGGACTGACTAGTTTGCAGGTAGTTGTTATTGCGTCCTCAAAGCCAATTAGACAGTTGTGTGTAATGACACACTTGAGTGTGACGTATGCGAATGAAAATATAGAAACTCTGGGTGGTCGAAAAGTTACACATGTATTCATTTAGCATTATTTGAATGGGGACAGTAATGTCACTAAATGGACCTTTATCGCAGCACTTGTCAAAGTGGGAAAAACACAGGTAAAATTGATAACATTAACAATGGCTAAGCTCCATTTAGTGTCATGTCAGCTATTACCAGGACCTCCCCTAAGTGCAACACAGCTACCATCACTAAAAGCACTATTTTCATAGAATACACCTGTGTTTTTCCTACTATGATATGTCAAAATGTCTGCCATATGGAAGCAAAAACTGAGTTTAGGGACTGTATGAAAAGTATTGCAGTGGAGAGGTGGGCTGAAATGTGGGGTTAATGTTCCACCTTTTTATAAAAAAAAATGCAGATCCTCCTCAGTCATTTGTAACAGCTGTAACTTTATTTTTAACAATACATCTTGCAATAGAAGGCTGATATTAACCCTTCAAAAACCTACGCTTGATTTATTTCAAAAACAGGAAGAAGGCAGCAAGCAACCAAAGAAGAAATTACCCAAAAAAATTGCAAAAATAAATGAGTAGAAAGAGAAAATTTAAAACTAATTTTCTTGTTTTTAATTTTCTCTTTTTACTATTTTTCTTTCTTTCTTGAAATTTTTTTGGGTCATTTCCTTGTTTGTTTATTTTGGACTTTTTTGTCTTCGTTCTGTTTTTTTTTTTTTTTTTTTACTGTTTCTTTGTTTTAATTTTCACTTTTTACTATTTTTTTTTTAAATTAGTAAAAAAATAAATAAATAAAAAAAGAGTTAAAAACAAACAAATGAGAAAATGACCCCAAACAATTACAAAACAACAACAGTAAAAAGAGAAAATAAAAAAATTAGTAAAAAAAAAAATGTTCAAAACAAACACATAAATGACCTGAAAGTGCTTGAAAACTACTATAATTATGTACCATGATTCTAAATATGTATTTTCTAAAATAATTTTCTAAATCTACAATCTATTTGCTTGACACTTCTCACCAAGTTGCCTTTTTCCCATATTTATTTATTATTAATTCATCTGTTTTCTCAGTTACACATTTAATCTTTATTTCTATAAATAAAATATCAGAAAATTGCAAAAAATGTCCTCTATAATTTCCCAACATCCAAACTGACGTCTGACAATGTCTCGTTTTGTGTGACCAACACAAACACTATTCAGACACAAGGCAATTCAAAGTGCTTTATAGGGACATGGAAAACAATCAACTTAAGACATTAAGGAAACATTAAAGTTGCATTTCAAAGACAATAAAAAAAAAAAAAAGCAAGAACAAGTTTTGGACAGTCCACAATCCTGACATGAGTTGTTTTCTTCACATGAACACAGGAGCATTTATGGAGAATCAAGTCCAGACACTGTCCAGAGTTTCTCTGCCACACGTGGCACACAAGAGGAGACTGTCCATATCAGAGGCGTTGTAACCAACTGGAAATACTCACTTTGGTTTAGGCGAGGGCAGTGGTGTAGTGGTGGTTGATGAGGTGGGTGTACTAAAAAGTAGATGGGTAAGGAGGAAGTGGGTATACTCTCTTTTATATCCCAACTGTAAATGTCCAGAGAAAGAGGTGGGTATACCATGCATACCTGTGTATGCCAGTGTGGGTAGAGTGTGCAGGATGCTGGACATGATGTGAATAACTCTGCAGTCATGTAGCACGTTTGTAATTTAATCACAAACAACCAAGTCTTCTGGCATTCCTTGAACTTGTATGACAATTTTAGCTTTGGCCCTCATCGACAATAGCTCCCCAATCTCGTAATCTCTTCAGTTAGACATTTATCTTCGTGTAGATGACTCTTCTTCTTCTTCTTCTTCTTCTTCTTCTGTAAAAACACCATCAAGATACCCACTTGCTCGCCATAAATTCTCCAGACATGGGCTCAGTCGGGCATTACTTGGATTTGTACTTGACACGTGGCAAGAAGAAGTCAGTTTCATGTCCGATCCCACTGATTCAGACATTTGCAGTCTCACATACAGCTCCTCCAGGTTACATTTGGATAGTTTTAGTTTTGCAGTGCATGTGTGAAAAGGGGCTTTATTTAATATCTTATCATACAAGACAAATAAAAGCCCCAAATATTCACACCTACCTAAGCAGTATCAATTACAAAACATGCTGCAGACCAATTACACTTGATTAACTCTTGAATTCATTCACTAATTGTTTCAGCTTCTCCCTTGAGCAAACAGAAAAGATAGACAACCCTCCCCTTATTCTGACCCCTCCCGCTTCCCTAAACATTTTCACATAGTCCCTTAGGAGATTTCACTTTAATAGACACTTTAATTCATTTATGCTGCCTGTGTAAGATGCATTATCTTCATATCTGTCATTAGGTTTTTCGTTAATTTGACAGTAAGAGTAGGAATCCAGTTCGTAGTCTGTGATAGTCACGTCCCTTTGGCGTGGCTCCATTGACTGTGACTGAAAAGCTAGCTTCCTTTGTGTGTATAAATTTCACATAAACTGCACTAGAATGTGAGTTTTCATCTCAATATTGCCTTTTAATTCACATTTAATAGCAGTGGCATGAATCAAAGTACGCTCCCGTCAAATTATATATGTTATTATTCAGGCACAAATAGTTCCATGACATATAAATGGATGAGCACGGTGTCATTACGTAACCTGAGGTATGACATCACCCTCCTAATCTCGTATTAAAAATTTGCTTTTAAGGTTGACGCAGCTGGGGCCAATAGCGGTGGAGGCCCCATGGGAAAACTGATACAGTGTCTCTTCGTATAATAGCCTCTGGCTCTCAAGTCTTCAAAGTGCAGCTTTTAAAAACCTCCAAATGGAAGTCGTAGTTTCCAGGAGGCTTTTAGCAGCATTAATGTTTAACTTTTATTTCCAAGTGTGCTGGCTTAAGGAGATTTCTGTCGGTGTGTCCGGCAGTGTGCAACGGTGGCCATCCAAGTTCTTGTAGACGTGTGTCAGTGGTCTTTTGGTTGTTGCTGAGTGGATTTTGTGAACTACTGGTCCCCAACCTAAAACATTGCTTCTATATATGTGTGTGTGTGTGTGTGTACTGAGATGGGTGGGGTCCAGCTGGCCCTTCAGTGGACACATGCAGGAGACAGAGCAGAAAAAAAAATCCCCTGTAGCAGTCGAAACACTGCAGACCCTTTGCCTTTTCTTACTGCTACCACACATGACTGGAATTCCCAAAAACACACACAAGGCTCCTCGGATCTTATCAAGTCATTTCACTGCAGCCTGCTTCCACTTGTGCACTCCTTATCTGTGGGAATGGAATTTTACCAGCACACCACCGCTGTGGCACCCATTGGTCAACAGGTGGAGCTCTCTGCACTGTGCTGGTTTCATTGGTGCTGTATGAGGAAGTGGAGTCCTGCTGTATCACATCCTGCTTTTGTTGTCTCCGCCTCATGTGCAGACCATGCCACACTTGGTACGCATGAGCACACACACACACCCACACACACACACACACACACACACACTCTCTACCCCGCCCTGAGCTTGAGAAATCCTGAGGAGGAGGAGGAGGAGGAGGAGGAGGAGGAGGAGGAGGGAGGCCTTTCTTGTTAAAGTGATCAGTTTCTTCATGGGCAGACATTCATGACAACATGGTAAGTCCCTGCAAGCCCCCCCACACACATCCTGGATACACAGCTCATACAGCACAAGTGTGTGTCTGGCTGTGTGAATGTGTGTGTGCACATCAAGCAACACAAAAGAATAAACAGTGTTCACAAAAATGGTTAAAATCATGAGTCGCAGCTGTTTTTGTCTCATTCTTGCTCTGCCAGTGCAAATATTTAAGCTACTTAGGGACTGTACACAAATTATTAGAGGGGAGGAGAGGTTAAAAAAAGGGCAGGGATGTTTATTTTTTTCTCTTTTGCTGAGGGGAGGGCAGTCTGACTTTATTTTGGGAGAGTTGAAAATTTCCCATCACACATAATGTTCTCTGTTCACTTCCTCCTTCACTTTCTTTGGCCTCAGAACAAAAGTTTAAAAAAAGAAAAGTTAAAGTTGGCATTTACTCAAGTTCAAGTTCAGCTTTTTATGATTGCTGAAATGAATAATTTGCACATTGGTGGCTACTCAAAACTCTTCGGTGATCCAGGTATCGTATATTTATTTTTGCTCACATGTAATTTGTAATACGGTATATTAGGTTGTAACTGTTAGCTCTG